TATATATATATTATATATAGATCTTAATAAAAATGTATCAGTGACTGTGAGTTTTGCAAATGTGTCATAAGAATATTTTATTAGTGTTAATGTTAACTCCACCAAGAATATTTAAAAACACTGAACCATGTGTTCAGCTTTAATGGCTGTACTCCTGAGATTTACAGAAGAAACAAATGGTGAGAATGAGTTTAGTATTCAGCTCTGACTGATTAAACGCGCAAATACTTCATTGCTCCTGACAAACAGGTGACAGAGTGGAGCGGTCGACCGTTCCAAGATGGCGGCCCTACAGCTCGTCAGCGCCAATAGGCGACAGCGGTCAATGCCGTATCTAGTCATTATATGATATCTATGGTGGCACCCCCCGAATTTTTTTAAATTTCATTATTATCAGCTGTTGCTTGTGCAGTGTGTTAAAAAAATCTGACGCAATTAAAATGAAAGGCAGCATCACAACTACAGTAAGTTACATTAAAAATGAATTCATACACAGAACGAAATATCAACGGACCATAGAAATGACGTAAAAAGACGTAATGCGATTATGTCAGTGATACCTGCTTGCCTGAATCTTCAAAGGACCGCAGAAAATTAGGTACAAAAGGCACAATGTGATGACGTCAGTGTTCGCCTGTATCTTCAAAGAACCACAAAAAATTATGCAAAAAAGGCGAGATGTGATGACGTCACAAACCTGCGTCATATTTCAGAGTTTATAAATTTGAGAGAGATCTGAGCACTCTCTCACTCTCTCACTCTGTCATTTCAGAGACACACACGGGCAAACACTACGTGTTTAAACTGTTTACAGAATCTGTGACTGAAATAGTTTTCTTTTGAAAATTATTCATTTCAGTGCGCACTAACTGTGGATCCATTTTTCAACTAAAACCGACACGTCAAGATATCAGAAGATGTCTCGATCAAAACGTGCTGAGCTCCGTGAGGAGCTGAAACAGTTGAAGAATGTTGAAGCCCAGCTTAAACAGAAGATAGTTTTTTACCGAGAGGAAAACGCTAAATTAAGAGAGGCAGAACTCAAAAGGCAGTATGAACTGGAAAGAGACGAGATCATTAAACAACACGAAAGTGTTTTCACACAGAAATATGAAAAGTCTCAAAAGAAAATCTTGGAATTAGAAACGGAGCTGACTAGAATAGAAGCTCTGTTCAGCACACTTAAAGCGAGCGTTAAATCTCTAGTAAAAGAAAAAGCGCAGCTTTTAAGTCAAGTTCAATCTCAAATCAATGTCCGTGATCAGAGAGAGGAGGACCTC